ATTGAGTTATGAAATGCATGAGATTCATGCTTCTGTGAAGTATGTGGAATATGTGATACACTATGTGTACTATTTGTTCAAAGAATATGAAGTTAGTAGAGAATTTATATAGAAACTTTATGTATGCTTTAATACTTAGTACGGGCTTTTCTTTATTAAGAAACATGCCACCAAGAAGAAACCCCCATGCAACCCCAACTGTTGAGGAGTTAGCTCAAACTATTCAGCAGATGGCGCAACACATTGGAGCAGCTCAGAACCAGAACCCGGGGGTCGACTATGCAACACGTGTAGCCGGAAGGAACCCTCCAAAATACCTGGGAGAGGAGGATCATCTGATTCTAGAAGACTGGATCCGAACCTTCGACAAGCTCTTCGACTCACTCAACTGCCCATTGGAGCAGCGGGTGAACATTGCGGTGTACTACTTGCACCAAGAAGCGGATCATTGGTGGGCCGCCACTGGAGCAACCCTGCTCGAGCAACCGGGGTTTTGTTGGGAAGATTTCAAGGTAGCCCTACGTGACCGTTTCTATCCGGATCATGTGAAGGAGGCAAACTATGATGAGTTTGTCAACTTCAAGCAAGGAGATTTAACTGTCCAGGAGTACCATACAAAGTTCGTCCAACTGGCCCGCTTTGCCAAGGATCTGGTATCCACTGAGGCCAGCATGACCCGCAGATTTGTTAATGGGCTGAACTTTGGTGCCCAAAAGTTCGTGACCGTGGCAGAGCCGCGGAACATGAATGAGGCGTACCGGAAGGCTGGGAAGTACTACATGGTACATCAGAAGGAGAGAGAGGCGCAGAAGAGAGACCGGAAGGTTGCCGAGGTAGAACAGCAGCAAAAGAAGGCCCGAACTGACCGCCCGGAGCCAAGACAAAACAACCAAAGCAGTAGAACCTTCCAAGGCCAGGGTCAGGGAAGGAATCAACCCGCTCAGGCACGGTACTACAAATGCAAACTGTGCCCAAACAACCATCCCGGGAAGGACTGTGCGGGAAATGCAGTGAGATGTTACAACTGTAATCTCATGGGACATCGGGCATATGAGTGCCGGAAACCTCCAAGCCAGGGTCAAAACCAGGGGAACAACCAAACTGGGGGCGGGAATAATCACGCTAACACTAACCGTGGTAATCCCGGTAATCGCCCAGCGGAGGCTAACCGAAACCAAGGCCCGGGAGGGCAAAACAACACCCAAGGCCGCATCTACGTTATGAACCAGGCTCAAGCAAATGCACACGATGTGGTGTCAGGTACCTTTCTTGTACACTCCAAACCTGCTTATGTGCTATTTGATTCAGGTGCATCCCACAGCTTCATAGCATCAAAATTTGTGGAAAAGACAAAGCTAGAACCGACCACCAAACTTAATCTTAATGTAAGAACCGCCTCCAACCAAATTGTAGCATGTGGAAGTGTTTTCTCTAATGTTCCCATAGTCATATCCGATACCGAACTACCCGGAGATCTAATCCAATTCGATTTGGAGGATATCGACGTGGTGTTGGGTATGGACTAGCTAGGGAAATATAAAGCCAAAATCCTGTGTGACGAGCAAAAAGTGGTCTTGAAGGGACCCAACAAGAAACGTGTATCCTACAAAGCAGTCACATCTAAACCGGGAGTGAAGCTAGCAACCATGCAGCAAGTCAAACGATATGTCCGGAAGGGGTATGAAGTTTACTTGTGCATGATCAAAGACGTGACCTCCGAAGATCCGACCATTGATCAAATTCCTGTGGTCAATGAGTTTCCGGATGTATTTCCAGAAGAGATTCCAGGGATGCCACCGGAGTGAGAAGTCGAGTTTTCAATCGACCTTCTGCCGGGCACCGCACCCATCTCGAAGGCACCATACCGAATGGCACCGAAGGAAATGCAAGAACTGAAGGAACAACTTGAAGAGTTATTAGAGAAGGGCTACATCAAACCGAGTATCTCACCTTGGGGTGCTCCGGTCTTGTTTGTGAAGAAGAAGGATGGGAGTCTGAGACTCTGCATCGACTATAGAGAACTGAACAAGGCAACCATCAAGAACAAATACATGCTGCCTCGCATTGATGACCTCTTTGATCAACTGAGGGGAGCTAGCACGTTTTCCAAAGTTGATTTGAGATCCGGGTACCATCAAGTGAGGATTGCTGAGAAAGATATCCCGAAGACGGCCTTTCGAACGAGGTACGGGCACTATGAGTTCACCGTAATGCCGTTTGGCCTCACAAATGCGCCTGCAGTATTTATGGACCTCATGAACCGTGTGTTCCGACCCTACCTCGATTTGTTCATTGTGGTGTTCATTGACGACATCCTGGTGTACTCCAAGACGCCAACCGAGCATGAAGGACATCTGAGAACAGCGCTGCAAACTTTGAGAGAGAATCAGCTCTATGCCAAACTCTCAAAGTGTGATTTCTGGAGGGATCGGGTAGCATTCTTGGGCCACATCATCACCCGAGAAGGTATATCCGTTGACCCGTCAAAGATCGAAGCAGTAACTGAATGGCCTACACCCAAAACCGTGACGGAGGTCCGGAGCTTTCTAGGTTTGGCGGGCTATTATCGTAGATTCGTGAAGGATTTCTCAAAGATAGCAAAGCCTTTGACTAATCTCACGAAGAAGACTACGAAGTTCATATGGAGTGATGAGTGTAAAGAAGCTTTCCAAAGAACTGAAGCAGAGGTTAACAACCGCGCCTATCTTGACCCTACCGTCCGGTACTGAGGGGTTCGAGATTTACACTGATGCTTGTCTGAAGGGGTTGGGGTGTGTATTGATGCAAAATGGCAGAGTGGTGGCCTACGCATCAAGACAACTAAAGACCCATGAGGTCAACTACCCGACTCATGACCTGGAACTGGCAGCGGTTGTCTTTGCTTTGAAGCTATGGAGACACTATCTCTATGGGGCACAATGTAAAGTCTACACTGATCACAAGAGCCTGAAGTACATTTTCACCCAAAAGGAGCTTAACATGAGACAAAGACGCTGGCTAGAACTCGTCAAGGACTATGACTTGGAGATCCAATACCATGAAGGCAAAGCAAACGTAGTTGCCGATGCGTTGAGCCGCAAGTCAACTCACTCCTGCAGAGCAACATGGATACTACCTGATGAGCTATACCGGGACTTTCAGAAGCTGGACTTGGAAGTTCGGGATTGCGGAGAAGTGGAGCGGGAAGCACGGTTACTCACCATGACCGTTACCCCCTCTATCTTCGACGAAATTCGCGAAGGGCAGCCTGGAGACATAAAGCTAGACCGAATCCGAGCAGGCATGACAAATGGCGTGAACGGTCCGTTCAAACTGCACGAAGACGGGAGCATTCGACACAAAGGAAGGTGGTGTGTCCCGATGAAATGTGAAGAACTTAAAAGGAAAATTCTGGAGGAGGGGCACAACACGCCTTACTCGGTGCACCTGGGAGGCGATAAACTCTACAAAGACATCAAAAAGAATTTTTGGTGGCCAAAGATGAAGAAAGAAGTAGCTGAGTTCGTGGCTCGATGCTTAAACTGTCAAAAGGTGAAAGCTGAACGTTGCAAGCCCAAGGGACTCGTGCAATCCTTGGAAGTGCCAAAGTGGAAGTGGGATTCCATCTCCATGGACTTTGTTGGGGGCTTACCCTTAACAAAGTCTGGCAAAGACAAGGTTTGGGTTATAGTTGATCGGTTAACAAAGACCGCTCGCTTTATCCCGATGAACGAAACTTGGAGCATGGGGAAATTAGCCCGAGCTTACATCAAACACGTGGTTAAGTACCATGGAGTTCCACAAGACGTCGTTTCTGATCGTGATTCTAGATTTCTATCTCAATTCTGGAGGGAATTGCAAGCCGCTATGGGGACGAAGCTGAAGCTGAGTACTGCCTTCCACCCAACCACCGATGGGCAGACGGAGCGGACCATTCAAACACTCGAGGACATGCTGAGAGCATGTATGCTAGACCTACAAGGGTCATGGGATGAACACTTAGACTTAATAGAGTTCTCGTACAACAATAGCTACCACGCCAGTATCAAGATGGCCCCGTACGAAGCCCTATACGGTCAAAGGTGTAGAAGCCCAATATGCTGGGGTGACATGGTGGATAAAGTGGTGTTAGGGCCGGATTACCTCCAAGACACCATCGAGAAAGTAAAGATGATCCAAGCGAGGATGAAGGCAGCTCAAGACCGTCAGAAATCTTATGCAGACCTGGGAAGGAAGCCAGCCGAATTCGAAGCAGGAGAGAAAGTCCTACTCAGAGTCTCCCCGACCAAGGGAGTAATGAGATTTGGGAAAAAGGGAAAGCTAAGTCCGAGGTTCATAGGCCCTTATGATATCCTCGAACGAGTGGGAAGGGTGGCATACCGGCTGGCTCTACCCACCGGGTTGGCTAAGGTACATCATAACCCGCTCATTAAGTAGTGATTACCTGATTGCAAATCTCTGAAGTGTGAATTTCGTGTAGGTACACAACGTTTTCCATATCTCCCAACTGAAGAAGTATGTCCGCGACGAATCGCATATCCTTAACCCCGAGGTACGAAACGTAACCTTATGATAGTTGAGATCTAAGTATCACGCCTAACCTCGACTCTTTTAGGTGGTCGAGTTAGATGAATCGTTGACCTACGAGGAGAGACCGATCCGGATTCTGGACACCAAGACCCGTGAGACTAGAAGAAAAGCGGTTAAGATGGTGAAAGTCTTGTGGTCTAACCACTTGGCCGAAAACGCCACTTGGGAGACTGAAGACGATATGCGCAAACGCTACCCTGAACTTTTTGACTAAGGTAATATTTCGGTTACGGGGACGTAACCCTCTTTAAGGGGGGTAGAATGTAATACTTAAGAATTCGGTTAATTGGCTTAGCTAATGTTTCGGGACGAAACATCTTTTAAGGGGGATAGAATGTGACACTCCAAAATTTTAAATAAAAATAAAATAATTTTATTAGTGAGATAAAATGTTACAAAAAGTGAGATTTTATAAACGGTCTATAAATCAGATACAATTTAGCTGACAAGAATAAATTATCTATTTAGCTGATAAAGACATACATACCGGGTACAATTTAGCTGACAAGAATAAATCTTATATAATTTATTTAGCTGATAAAGATGTGTAAACCAGATATAATTTAACGGATAAGAATAAATTTATTTGACAAAAAGGAAAAAAAAAAAAAAAAAAAAAAAAAAAAAAAAATTTAACGTGCGATGAAGAAAAACGGCCGCAACTCAACGGCCAGAAAATTTAAGAGGTGTTCTTGATGTGAATTAAAAGCCAGAAACGTTTAGAGCATGTAGAGGGGCGAATTTTGGCCTATAAATAGCTACATTTGGTGTTGTAAAACCGGAGATATACATATATAAACATATACAGCGTTTTTTTTTTGAACCATCGCTACAACCCCTTATTCGAAGCCAAAACCACTCACAAACCTTCCCCTTAGCGAGAGGAATCCAACGGTGAAAGAATCGTTGGAAACGGTCGAGAAACGAGGGAGATATTGCTCGCCGGAGTTTCGCCGGGGAAACTTTCCCGACGAAAAACAGAGAAGCAGAAGCCGCCATCACCGCCGCCAACCCTTCACCGACCTGCGCCGTCCTTGGAGGAGTGCACCGCTACCGCCGTTGGCCGTTTCGTCGAGGTAAGCCCGACCTGCGTTTTTTCCCGTTCTCCCCTGTTTTTTTTTTCCCGGCGACCTGCGTTTTGCGTTGAAGAAGACGACCAACCTGGGGTCTGTCTTTTGGGCCGCCAGTTGCTGGGCTTTTTTTTTTGGGCCAGTTCGGCCCAGTTGCAATAAAAATTAGAAATAAAATAGTAAATGAAATAAATAAAATCTGGAAAAATATAAATTAAATACCTAGTATGATTATACATATTCGGACCAACCAGAATTGAAAAATAATATTTTTAGCTATTTTTAATTGATTTAATTGTAATTGGGCCAATTTGTACACATTTAAGGAATAATTAACTAAATGGCGAAAATAATTATGAAATAAATATGGGAGTGAACCTGGATAAATATATGACTAACTAAGACATTATGGACCATTTATACTTAATGAAAATTAATATTAGTATATTTAAATGTAAATGGACCGGTTATTGGATATACGAAAATAAAAATTAAGGAAAATAATTATAAAATAAATATCTGGACAACCTAGGTCAAATATAGACCCAAAATATAATTATGGACGGTTATTAATTTATAAAGTCGATTTTGAAGTCTATATAATTTAATTGGGCCATATAAAACTAGTTAAGTAATTAAATAAGGAATTCTTAATATTAATGAGGAAATTGGCTTGATTAATTAATAGTAATCACTTGACTAAACTTGCTAATTGTTAATTAACATAACTACATGATGTTATATAATAAAAAGAAATTGATGGTTTACAAAAGCCTAATAAACGAAAATCATATCAAAGTAGTAATTATTTGGACTTAGTAACACGAGTAGATTAATTAAAGTTGGATAAATATTATTTTCACTAATTATTGGACGTTTTATAAGTAAGAAAATTAAATGATGATTATTAAACTAAAAATCTGATATTGTAGTTAATTATATTCGTATTTTTTTTAGAATTCAAATATTATAATTAACGGCTGAATTAATTAGGTAATTTAAGTAATAAAAATTGATTAACTCGAATAATAACATAAGTAAATTAATGAATTCGAAGAATAAAATAAAAGGGTGAAAATCGGGTAAATAATTATTAAAGAATAAGTGACTAATTATATATCTTAATTAAAAAGGTGAATAGTTAGAGAACGAAGTTGAAGAAGGGAATTAGGAGCATCCGGACTAGAGGTAAGTTTCTCTGCCAATCCAAAATTGTTTCCTCGTATTATATATGTATTATGTGATACGTGATTTTAAGTGTGAATTATGATTTTTATGCATGTGATTTTGAGATTATTTGAGTTGTGATATTTGAGAAGTGAAACTAAGTGCTTCTGGGAATTACATATTTTATTTAAATATTTTTGAGGCAATTTGAGAAGTTGAGGAATATTTTTTGATGTATGTTAATCCAAGATAAAAGAATGATTTCATAAGAAGTGAGCGCCACGGGAGAAATCCGCGGTGTCGGTTTTCCACGTCCGGATAAATGTGGAGGGTGATTAGGTCTGCTACTACCACTACTACATTTTTGGCTCTATTGTAACATTAATTATGTAACATTTACATTAAACCGTTACATATTTGATCTATTGTAACATATTCTATTTTTTATAATCAAATGTTACAATCTTAGGCATAAATGTAACAGTTTTATGAATTATGTAACATTTGTTTAATATTGTAACACAATAATGTAACAGTTTTATATTTTGTTGGCGTACGCATGATTGCCGCCAAAGTAAAAAAGAACCGCCAAACTTTTTAGCCTGCGTCTTTTTCCCGCACACGCGCGTACGAGCGAAAATTTTAGCCTTATCATCCAAATTAAAAAAAAAAAACTGGTGCCGAAAAACCTAAACCCTTTCACTTATTCATGTGACATCTCCGCTCCAATCGGCAATTCTTTCTCGAGCCTTGACGGTACCTGCTTTCTCTTTCTCTGGCTTTCACTTCAGCAGCGACCAACAGCCAGAAGATTGCGGATTGCTTTCTCGGTCGCTGGCTTTCACTTCGTCTGCAACCAATTGCTTTATCGTTTCATCTGTCATCAGTTTGAGAAGAGCGGCTTCATTGACATCGAGAGTCGGCTTGGTTTGTATCCCCTCCATCTCCAGTCACCGATTTCGTCACATATCCTGTATCCCCATAATCGGTTATCCTCATTTATATTGGTAATAAGATTTCCATCTCAAGTATTATGTGGGTTGCTGCGATATTTTGAAAAAAGGAACTCCTTATTATTCTTATTTGGTTTAATCTCTGTCTGCCGATGTGTTTTAATTTCTTTGTGATGTAATGTAATTAGGGTTTATATGAAATTCTATTTAAAAAGCATTTTTAATAAACCTGTGAAACATTATGTGGAGGGTTCATGTGACATCCATATAATTTCCATTAGATTTCATTGGCTATTGACATTAGAAGCAACAATATACCGTAATATATAACTCTCTTTAGTGTTTACTTGTTGAAGTGCTAATACTTTTTCGGGCTATTATGGACCTTTTTATTATTAATGAATATATTCTTATCAAGTTTAGTTGGCTTGTCTTGAGCTTACTGTGAGATTGACAGAACAAATAGATTACAATTGGGAAACTTAGGAGAGTACTCAGTGTAGCATGTGTTCTGGAACTTTTAAATTTTGTGATCTGAGACCATATTCATTGAAAAAATCTCTAACTTGGCTTCACTTTCCCTCATTGCACACATATGGTTATGATTATTATATTAAACAGTTTCATTTTCTGAAACAAATAAACAGTAATTCAGGTTCTGCACCCTAAAAATTGCACCAACTTGTAACACCCTACTACCCATTTTCAATTGATGGCCGGTTAATTAAGTTTCATAGTTATACAAGTATGGTTTTACATCCTAAATGCTGATTGAAGTATTTTTTTTACTATTTCTCATTCGATCAATTAGAGATACCCAAAATATTCTTTTCTCATCATATTGATAGTTTTTGCATAGTCAGTGCACTAATGGAACAACTCGTCTTTGTGGTTGTTATTTTACCGTTCCAATGGTAGAGATTCTTTTAAGAAAACAAGAGATAATTTAGTCATCCTTTTAGCTTTGGAACATCATTTAGTCATCATCGCATGGAAGCTGATGATTGAGTAGGTAAGTAACCCAGTTTTCACTTTTTTTTCATCATTTTGTTCGCCTAGTATTTTTTAGTTATATCTGACCATCTTTAAATTCTGAAAAAAATAATTTTTTCCCCTTCTTTTTAGCTACCGAGTATGAAGAATATTCACCTAGTTTATTCTTTTATAGTGGCCCTAGTTTGGGTCTTGGCTTGCATCACTTTTGTTTTCTTCCAATAGAAAAAGAACTTCTTTTGAAATGTATGTTCATTTTTTCTGCATTTTTTATTCAAATCAGGAGTTTAGAGGCTATAAATGGCCAACCTGTTGGACCTACTAAAGCATGTGTTACTAGATTTAGTCGCTTTTTGGGGACATTGGCTAGGTCTCCTCACTTAACTCCTCTTAACTATTCAAGTTGGAAATATATGCCCACAAAGGAAAAAATATGGGATTATGTTCTGGTAAAGTTTTTACTTTTAACTATTTTTTACTGGTAGTTGAGTGATGTTCACATTTAATACAAAGTGAGGTAAAGCATCTAGTGGGGTAAAATTATGTGCTAAAGTACAAAACAAAATGCAACACTTGTTCGATTACCAGTTAGTGGGTCACCCTGGTGACATAGGAGATAATTGCACTGGAGCATTGCTGGCAGTTGAATAATGAACCGTATTGGTAGAAACTAAGGTAAATTATAAGTGAGATGAAATTATGTCCTAAAACAAGGTACAAAACAAAAGGTGAGAAGTAGAAAATCCTCCCTAGAATAACAAGAACGGGATAAAATATGGCAGTTGCCGTTATAGTTATGTGTATTCATCATGTAGGAGAAGTACATCATTCCCGAGGAGGGGAAGAAATGGGTTCTGGAAACTATGGATGCTTTATGGCGTGTTCACAAATCAAGGTTGAAAGCGAAGCACTATGATAAATATGAAACTGATGAAGAGAGATTGAAGTTTCGTCCAAAAAGCATTCCGATAAATCAATTTGAAGAACTACTGGAGTACTGGAATTCAGAATTATCCCAAGTATTTATTTAAACTCATTGCTACCAAATATTGTGTTTTATCCTATTTGAACACATGTCACTATAATGAGCAATGTATGTAGGATATATGCAAAAGGAACACTAGGAGTTGTGGATTACGAAGTGATATGCACACAATGGGCCCCTCATCTTATGCATTATTACGTCATGAATTGGTAGGGAATGCATTTACTTGACTGACAGATTGCATACTTAACTTATTTTGCAGCTAATTCCTCTTCCATTTGTGCATGATTCTGGGTCGAATGTCATTAATTAAGTTTGATACTACCATCAATGAAAATTGAGTTTTCAGTTATGTTATTCCTTATATTTCTGCTATTTTTACTTTTGTAGCAACAGGAAGACCAAAACAAGCTAACCCCCACTCAAGCAAAAGTTTACAAAGAGTCTAGGAAAAGGGATCCTGACCGCATGTATAAGACAAACAACGAAAAGACATTGCAAACTATTGTAAGTTACATATTTGCTTTTTAGTGTAGAAGTTGAATAAATAAGCTGGACATTCAAATTATTTAAATTAATTTTTTACTTTTCATCTCTAAATAGGAAGAAATTAATGTTAGAGAATCCCAACATGAAGAAGGAGATGATAAGACCTGTGATCCTTATTGTGAAGTGGTAGATAATGGTCATTTACGCCTTTATGGAAGAAGCATGACAAAATCTAAGCTGAAAATCAAGCCTAAAGATCAAAAGCCTAGTTACATATGCCCTCCTGAGTTCTTAGAGAGCTTCAAGCAAGATCTGATCTGTGCATTGACTCCTAAATTAACAACTGCTGTTGTCTCTAGCATACAAGCTGCCAATCCTGGAATTCAACTAAATGTTCCTGATTTTTTAGTTACTCCCAGGGATACTACCGGTGTTAACTCTTGCCAGCTTAATGAGGAAACTACTGAACAATTTAAGGTAAATGCTTTCCTTTTGTTTGACTTGTGACGCCACTTGTACACCACTTGATCCGTTAATGAAATTTATCATTAGGTTAAAAATTAAAAGTAGAAGATAAACTGAAAACCAAATGACTTTGTGTAAAGTAAATGAGCATACAGAATGTTTAAATATTTCTATCTATGATTGTAAAATATCAATTCAAATTATATGATTGATATGTTTAATGGAAGTATATGTGAAACCTGAAGTTATCTGTTTTGCTTTAACTTGCATCTTTCATTCTATAGCATTTCAAATGCTAATTGGGGTTTCTTAAATTTGTAGGATAATGAAGGAGAATTCAATGAATGAAGCATATGCCCCTGGAGCAGTAAACATGATGAACGAAGGATTATTTTTTTGCAAGTTAATATATGCCCATGTGCATTGTAAACTTCTTTTTTCAGCTACTCTTTCATTACTTTTCACTTTCTCTAGTGGTTATCTATTACTTTAATATGTAGAACGGTGAATTAAGTATGATACTACTTTCATTCGAATTTAATTTAATGAGAATTCATTGTCAAGTGGTGATTTTATGTTAGCATCATTTGAATGTTTTTGTGGGTTATCAATATGATTATATATGCGTGCACACTCATGTGTGTGTGTATATGTATAGTGTGTGTGTGTATATATATATATATATGTGTGTGTGTGTGTGTGTGTGTATGTAACAATTTTTTTTATTGAATGTAACACTGCATATTTGGTGTAACAGTATTTCTTAAATGTAACACTACTCTTTTTATGTAACACAATTGTTAAAATGTAACACATAATGTAAAGTAACAGTTTATCTCAAATGTAACATCCCCGTTAAATGTAATACTTCCTATTTCAAAGGTAACACTTTTATCTCATTGGCAGGTGGTGTTACGTTAGAAGCCAAAAAGTGTTACAATAGGTCTAATGCAACGCAAGCAAATGTAATGGCAAAAAACTGTTACCTTTTATGTAATGTAACACTTTTTAATGATATTGTAATACTTTTAAGTGATACAATAGGGGCTTAAATGTAGTAGTGTACGAAGAAGTATAGTTTGAGTTTAAAGTGATATTTGGATCGATGATCCTTTTTAAGAAGAAGTTATGGTAGTAGTAGTCCCTAATCATTCAAGATATTTTTCAGGGGTAGTTGGTAGACTGAGTCCCGACTACTCGTTACGACTTACTACTCGGAGGGCTTGGAATCCCTTTTAGGGGGTGTGCACACTTAAGGTAGTCGTTTCGTTTCCAACAGAGCAGTTGTGGTACCGGCATTTGTTCGGGGTGGCCGTCCATAACCACGGTCCACCGGGCTCTCCGAAAGGTTGAGCACCGCCCTTCTAAATTACTAGGAAGTTAGAGAAGAAGTGATTTTTGAGGAAATCAAAGAGAAGAGTTATTATGAAATTTTAAAGAAAAGTTGAGAATTTTAGTAAAGAAGTGGCTTTAAGAAAAATCAAGTGAAAAGAATTTCGATGGCGTGAGTATTTTTATATATTATATATAAAAATCTATTTTAGTCAAACATGATTATTTTACGGGGTTGGGTAGTACTTACTTAGCTCTAAAGCTAACTTTTGTTTTCTTTTCCTTGTTTTGTTTCTGCACTTTATTCGTGCAGGTGAGGATGTTCTTGTTGATTGATGATTGCTTGCGTGGCCTGAGAGCGAATTAGAAGTTGCCTTAGTCATACTAGTCATGAAATGAATATTTACTTTACAAACACTTTATTTTTATTGAGTTAAAGTTGTTATACTTTAGTTGCCTGTGCATCCGGTTGAGAGATGACCGGATGTGGCGGTGACACCCGTTTCCCTTATTAAGACTTCCGCTATACTCTTCAAATTTTCAATAAATAAAAGTTTTATTTCAATTAAATCAATGTTTCGGGTGGGAAATTGGGGGTGTTACACCTTCCACCTCCCCCAACGGCTATAACTCAACGGCTAGTTCCCGATAGAGTATAAATACATCCTCCGTACACTTCCTTCACCCTTCTCCATTGCAATCTATCTCTAAACCTCTTAAAATTCTTAAACTCTCAAAATCTCTCAAAGTAAACCATCTACTCATAATCACCATCTCATCCATTTTTCATCTCATCCACAAACCAAAGATGGCATCTCTTGCTCTCATCTCCAAAAAGATCTTCACCGGATCAATTCTTGACACATCTGTAATTCTGAAGAAGGCCAATAACAGCGATCTAATGAGAGACCTTCTGAGAAAGCTGGACTCTACAGGTCTTCTGAAAATGGCCACATATCCCTATCCAAACTTCTACCCAGAAGTAGCAGCTGAGTTCTACCTTAACTCTACCCTTGGCACTCTCAAATCAGTAATCAAGGGCAGACAAGTAGAAATCACAGAAGAAGACATCAGAATACTGCTCTCACTACCAGGAGAAGAAGCTCCACTAGTTGAAGATTATGAACTCAACGAGCAAGAATTCAAAGAAATCATCCTACTCCCAAATGCTCAAGGTACAAAATCTCTCAAATTCAAAACCAATAAGATGATTCATGAGTATGCTCTCCTACTTAGCATACTCTACAAGTGCATCGACTCCAAGAACACAGCTCTAGATGAACTAAACAGAAAAAGAGCAATACCTCTAGCTGCAATCATCTCAGGGTCACCTCAGAATTGGGGAAGATACGTTCACAAGGAAATGGTGGAGTTTGTAAAGAAATTCCATGAGCGATCAAATGACAACACCATACCTTGGTTAGGATATGGTTTCCTGATAGGAGAAATCCTCAAAAGGAAGGGAATTAGAAGCACAGTCAAGAAGGCAACTGACTGGAGAAAGATTCTTTCCCAAAAATCAACAGAAGGAGCACCAGACATTCCAACCGCAGAAGACACATTCCTCTCAGATGAGCCTCTCAAGACTGAACTCAACAAGTTCAAAACTCATTCCTTAAAAAGAAATCTATCAGAAAACCAAGAAGTCCAGTCCAAAAGATCCAAAGGGTTACATGCTACTTCAACAAGAAATCTACAAGAAGAAATAGAAGAAGCTGCCACTCCTCTACCAATCACTCAGGACAACTTCGAAGCAGAAGCCTATCCACTACCCACAATTCAAGAAGAAAGTGAAGGGTCAAAACAGGGAGAAACGAAGCAACAATCCTCCTCTTCAGACACTATTGCCATCTCTGCAACTCCCATCTCCATCAATCAACCTCAAGAAGAGCAACCTGCTTCAGAAGCTCAACAGCAGATCACTCCAACTCTAGCAGCGCACTCACCTACTCCACTAGAAAGGTTAGAAGCTGAATGGGCTAGAGTAAAAGAATGGAGAAAATGGAAACTATCACCAATCCTCCATCAAGCTGAAACACTACCAAACTTCATTGATGAGGAAAGCTTTGCTACATACTGGCTTGAAACTGAAGATATGGCAGTGGCTACTAATCTTCACAAAATCAACCTCATCTACATCTCAAAGAAGAAGAAGCTCTCTGCTACAATCACTGCTGCAGAAAAAGATGACAATGATGATGATAATGATGATAATGACAGTGACTTTGGAGACTACCCTCAAGATCAACAACACATTAGAGGTAAACAAATCATCCACTCTCCTTCCTCCTCCTCGAGTGATAAAGAATTGCACCAAGTACTTGAAAAATCCAAGTTCGAAACAAAAGGAGGTGGTGAATCATCCAAAGCTACCAACAACCAGCCCACTGCCATACTCATCACACATCAACAGCACCCTACTGCTCAGCCCACTGTCATTCCAGAAGGAGAGACTGAGCAAGAAGATACAATATCTTTAGCAGACCTCTTTGTTCAAGAAAGAGGAGCATCAATTCAATTCATCAGCAGAGCAGAAACACGGCTGCATAAAAGACTGATCAAAATGAAGAGGGATCTAGAAGAAAGACTGGACGTACGCTTTGAAGAAGTCCACAGGCATATCCGCAATGACTTAATGATCCAACAAGTCTTCAACTCTGAACAGAGAGCTCTACTCAAAGCAAAGACATCTCAACATGAGGCCTTAGCTTTGGATATCCAGAAACAGATCACTAATCTCAAAGCAAGAGATCAAGATCTTGAAGACAAATTCTTGGCACACCAGAAGCAGCACCATCCACTAGTACCAGCAGAAGTCTCAACACAAGGAGCAGGCATCTCGGCTCAGGTATCTCCCATTCCCTGTCTTCCTCCGAATATTGAGCAGGCACTTCAAAAGATACAAGAGCATGAGGCATATCTCAACAAGTTTCGAAATGAGGAATTCCCAGCGATGTACAAATTCTCCTACAACCTTCTCAAAGGACAGGAAGCTCATGCTCAATCATTTGAGCAACTCACAAATGACATAGCAGAGAACTTCAAAAAGCTTCATAAGTCCACTCAAGAAACATTCTGGAAGCAGGGGGCTGATATCCAACAACTGAGTCAAGAAGTGGAAACAACAAAAAGGATTCTGCAGAAAGTAGAAGAAGAAGTTCGAATAGACGTGAAAACCGACCTCATGGACATCAACAACACTCTCAATGCCATGTCTATCAAGGTCTATGGTATCCAGCCTACAAGAAGACATGAAGATCCAATATCAGATGAAGAAATTGAAGCCCTATTTCAAGATGTTGATGATGCCAAAAAGGGGGAAGGTACATCAGCAGGACTATCCCCCTCAGCAGGACCCCCCTCCAAAAGACAATTAGCAGCAAAGAAGGCAGCTGAGACAAGAAGGAAGAACAAAATGCTACAAGAAGAAGCTGAAATCAGAAAGAGGAAAGCAGAAGAGGCTAAAGCCAAAGAAGAAGCCAAGAAGAAAGAAGAAGACAGGCCACCTCAGTAAAACTTAATCATAAGTCCGAGAATGACTATAAACTACTGTAATAGCAAAACACTTGTAACTATTCTAATTTTAATAAAGAAAAATTCTTCCCTGCTTAGTATAGTTTTGGCATCATCAAAAAGGGGGAAATTGTTAGTACCCAATTTTGATAAGATTTTGATGATGCCACTATACTAAAAGTCATTATGCCCTGTGTTCTTACTAAATTAAGAATTGATCAGGTTCTCAAACTGTGACTAATTAAAATGTACAATTTTTGTACTAAATAAATTTTTACTGGAAAATTAAAATGCAATAAGGTAAATTTTTACCTTAAAAGGATATTCAGATCCCACCAGTATAAATTTATTTAGTACATAAAATTATCAAGTCACATAATCAGCTGATCAAGAAATGACAAAATAAATTCTGTACCAAATAAATTTTACTGGAAACTAATAATTACAATAAGGTAAAATTTGTTTACCTTAGAAGGAGACTTTGATCCTACCAGTACAAATTCATTTGGTACATAATATAATAGAACACGGCACAAACACACACACAAACACTGCATGTGTATGATTGAAGACAAAGACAAGAAGAGCATTAAATGCTCAACAGTACGAAGACCAAAGAAGATGGGTCGCACACACCAAATCGTGAAGATTGATCCTTGACTTGATCTTCTAGCTACTAATCAGTGAAGACAAAGGAAATTTCCATTATCAGCTCCAG